AACCAGGGAAGATATTCAGTAAAAAACAGTTTTGTTTTTTTTTAAGAAAGAAATAAACTTTCCCTAGACACAGGGCAGAATCATTCTCTTTTCTGTCTTGGGGCACTAGTGCATGCGGTGTGGTGGCAGGGACAGTGGCGGCCATCCGGAGGCCACGAGGAATAAGCCCAAGTCAACACACGGGATCCTTGAGGATACAGAAATGTTGATGGGCGCTGAATTAACCAGCCCTGGAGGCCCCGTTCCCCGGGTCCCTTGTTATGTGTGGCGGACACTGTTAACAGCCCTCTAGTGCCCACGCTTCCCGCCATCCACTTGGTAACGGAGCACACGGAGCTCTAGCTGGGTATTTGGCCCCTAGATGCACACTACACTTCCCAACATGCTTGGCAGCGGGGTGTGGCCACGTGACTAAGTCCAGGCCAATGGGATGTGAGCAGAAGTGGGGCTCGCAACTTTAGGATTATCTCCTTAAAAACATTTGCCGTGAGCAAACTTCCCATGAGCTGGAAAATGGCAGCAGCTGGCGGCCCGGGGAAGCCCTGCTGGGGATGGCAGAGGGTCCCATGGGTCTCGGAGCACTCGCCTTGGGGCTGTGGTGGGAGAGAAACGTCTTCTCCCGGTTGATGTGGCTCTATTTGGAGTCTCTCGTTACAGCAGCTTCCCCAGAGCCTCAGCCGATAATACTGTCCTCAAGGCATCAGCCACCAGAATTGTTTCTCGTCACTGGCCGCCTCTCTGATCTTCTTTCTCTCCTTGGAGGTTGGTGGGGACTGGGGCTGGGTCCCAGTGTTTCTCGGTGGTGGACGAAGGTGGTGATGGTGGACGAAGGTGGTGATGGTGAAGGTGGTGATGATGAAGGTGGTGATGATGAAGGTGGTGATGATGAAGGTGGTGATGATGAAGGTGGTGATGATGAAGGTGGTGATGATGAAGGTGGTGATGATGAAGGTGGTGATGATGAAGGTGGTGATGATGAAGGTGGTGATGATGAAGGTGGTGATGATGAAGGTGGTGATGATGAAGGTGGTGATGATGAAGGTGGTGATGATGAAGGTGGTGATGATGAAGGTGGTGATGATGAAGGTGGTGATGATGAAGGTGGTGATGATGAAGGTGGTGATGATGAAGGTGGTGATGATGAAGGTGGTGATGATGAAGGTGGTGATGATGAAGGTGGTGATGATGAAGGTGGTGATGATGAAGGTGGTGATGATGAAGGTGGTGATGATGAAGGTGGTGATGATGAAGGTGGTGATGATGAAGGTGGTGATGATGAAGGTGGTGATGATGAAGGTGGTGATGATGAAGGTGGTGATGATGAAGGTGGTGATGATGAAGGTGGTGATGATGAAGGTGGTGATGATGAAGGTGGTGATGATGAAGGTGGTGATGATGAAGGTGGTGATGATGAAGGTGGTGATGATGAAGGTGGTGATGATGAAGGTGGTGATGATGAAGGTGGTGATGATGAAGGTGGTGATGATGAAGGTGGTGATGATGAAGGTGGTGATGATGAAGGTGGTGATGATGAAGGTGGTGATGATGAAGGTGGTGATGATGAAGGTGGTGATGATGAAGGTGGTGATGATGAAGGTGGTGATGATGAAGGTGGTGATGATGAAGGTGGTGATGATGAAGGTGGTGATGATGAAGGTGGTGATGATGAAGGTGGTGATGATGAAGGTGGTGATGGTGGATGAAGGTGGTGATGATGAAGGTGGTGATGGTGGACAAGGTGGTGATGGTGGATGAAGATGGTGAGGAATGTCTTCTGATTTGGAGATGCCCCGCTCCCGCCCCCCAGGTGCAGTCTCACCCACCACCTGGGTTCCTTCCTGCTGCTGTCCCTGCCCGGCGAGTGGGTGCTCCCCCACCCCACCCCACCCCACCCCCGGTAGCCCAGATCAAACCTGAGTCCTCCACCTGCTGTCAGGTCCCCAAGCTGTGTCCAGTCCTGCCCCCCAACTGCACAGCAGGATTCCCAGCACCTGGCACGGCTGGCCCTCGTGGGACGAGCAGAGATGAGGAACAAGTGAGCTGTGAAACCTGACTTCCAGGAACGCAGCCCTAAGTTCCTCACGCAGCCTGGCTTCCCGCGGGCACTCAGAGGGAGGACATTGCATTTAATATTTAACAAGAAGCTGAATATTGACTCAGCAACGAGGGTTTAGCCCCTTACCCAGAGCTGCTGGGAAGGCCGCCTCCCGCCTGCCTGTGCTCGCCAGCTGGGGAAGGTTCCTTAAATGACCCTTCAGCCCCCCAACAAAGGGATGGGTCCTCACCTTCCCCAACCCCCAGACCAAAACAGCAGCCAGCGCTTGGCGGGAAGCCAGCCTCGGGGCTCCTGGATCTGATTACTGTCCCCAGGGCAGGCTTCCACCCCAGCCTGCCCCTCCCTCTCCTTCCGAGAACTGAGGACTGAGCTCTGACTCCTACTCCGAGGGGGGAGGGGGGGCAGGGGGCCGCCTAAGGCTGCCAGGCACCCGGCACTGGGTTTGGGACGGGATGGAACAAAGCGCAGGGCCTCCCTGGAGTCAGAGCCAAGCAGAGGGGCCGGAGGAGGGCTCTGGGCTCTGTTCTGTGGGCGCCCCACAGGGAGGTGAGGAGCCCTCTCCAGCTCCCCCAGCTGGCCTCCTTCCTGCCCTAAGCTAGTCCTCAGGATGGCCACGCCCTGGGTCCTAACCCCAGCGCTGCCGCCTCCCTGCTGAGCCTCAGTCCCCCATGCGGAGGGTGGAGGTGCGTTGTAATCACGTGCTCCACGCCGGTGCCGTGCTGGCTCATGTGATGGCCACCACCGTGCCAGGAGGTAGGTACCATCCATCTCTGCAGAGCTCTGGCTGGGGCAGGAGGCCAGGAGGCAGGGAAAGGGGGCTTTGGGCTCCCAACCCTGCCCTGGGCATTAGGACAGTTGCTCCAAGCCCAGAGGAGGGCAGGAACCTAGTACTGGGGTGGGGGAGGCAAGGGCCCCCGAGGCTGGTTGGCCAGGGCAGCAGAGGTCACCTTACTGCCTCCTGACCCCGCCTTCCTCCTGTTACCTCGCCCTGCCCACACCCGCCCGGCCTTCGCTCCGGGATGCTGCTGTTATTCCTGGCAGCTGGGCCGAGGTGTGCAGCTGCTGCATTAACAGGCTGGCTCAGCTAGGCACAGCCCTGCC